CATCCTTCATAGAAGTTGTTCAAATGGGTGCCTATGATAGCATATCCAAAATGCAGCCTCATTGGATAAATTTGAAGTCTATTACCCGTCAAACACAGAACCATGCTTAGGATGAATTTTGTTTGTTCTGTTAAATGAGTTGGTATTTTTTTTTTTTCAGGCTTAACTTCTTCCTCCAACCTTGGATTGGCCTAAAATGACATGTGTTTGGAAATATGACATTCTGACTTCAAGATGAAGGGCTTAAAGTCGTCATTTGCTTAAGGGAAACCCAATTCGTGAGCCCTTAAAGTTGCTGGTCATGCTGACATAAGGATAAGTTAAGTGTGCTTGGTTGTTCTGATCTAAGCATGAGATGTCATTGATTGTGGGGAAGTTAGGTGAAGCAGATTCATTACTTATAATTGGAGTGGAGTTTTGCAGCAAGCAAAGAAGATAAAAGAAGATGAAGTGGGAGCTGTAACACTAAGCCTAAAGAGAAGAAGAATTGTTTTCAAATGTAATTGTGTGTGGTTAGTGAACTTAATTGTATAATTATGCGAAGTATTGAAATCAAGAACACGACTAGGACTATGATTAATCAAATAGGCAGCAGACAGAACATCATGCCCCAAAGATGATAGGGAACATATATATCTAATATAAGTTAGCGGGCAACTTCAAGCATTTGTCGGTTCTTCCTTTTAGACACACCATTTTATTGAGAGGTAAAAAAGGTTATCGTTTAGTGAATAATAACTTGAGCACGGAAGAAATACGCAAAAGTATTATTCACATATTCTCCTATACTATCAATCCAGAATACTTTGACTCGAGCCTGAAACTGAGTAGATACTATAGTACAAAACTCTAGAAGGATGGAAGCAACATTATGTTTATTTTTCAGTAATCAAACCCAAGTGAGTCAGGTACAATCATCAATAAATGTGACGAACCAACGAAATCTGTTCGAAGTAACGTGAGCCGGACCCCACACATCAAAATGCACCATATCAAAAGGCTTTTCTGCTTTACTATCACTTAAAGGAAACACAATGCGATGGCTCTTTGCCAAAGTACATGTAGCACACTTAAAAAACTGGACTCATCACAAGAGCAGAATAAAGATGGAAACATAAACTTAAGGTAGCCAAACAATGGGTGTCCTAAGCGACGATGCCATAACCAAATTTGTTGTTTGTCTTTGACACTACAGCTTTGAACATTATTAACGACACGATCATGAACTAGTGCATCATGCAATGTCAAATAATATAGCCACATATCCGTTTACATTGCCAATCACCTCGTGAGTCTTGAGATCCTAAAAAAAGTAATATGTATGATAGAAAGTAGTAGAAGCATTAAATGTATCAAGTAATTGACTATAGATAACAAGTTATAATGGATAGTGGGAACTAGTAAAGCACGAGATAAGAACATTGTAGGAGTGAGGGAGGTTGTTCCCTTGCCAGTAATTGGAAAGGGCAAGCCATTAGCACTAGTTATGGGTCATGGGTGTTACTAGACCAACTCATCAAAAAATTTAGCATAATAAGTCATATGATCAAAAGCACCAGTGTCAATTATCCAAGTATTGAAGCCAATACTTGGGATAGAGTATAAAACACACAAATTTGTAGAAGCAGCAGCTACAACACCAACAATGGAGTTATCACTCATGATTATAGCAGAAACTCAACAGATCATGACATAGTACACAATGGAACACAACAGAGACACAAATACGACCGATGCATGAAGACATGATTGACACGGACACAGTAGAGGCACGAACACTACAACACAATACACAAACCCAAGAGGGCACACACAAAACTGGTAGAAAGAATATGAGGCTAGAACACGGGTGGGCACAATCCACAAGTCACCAAAAGTCGGCTATGCCAAGTCAAACAATATGGGGTAGAATATTTTCTAATATCTTTTCATTCTCCAAAAGGAGGTAATAAGTGTGTAAATCCTAGTAGGGTTATACAAGAAAACAAATAAACTCCTAATTACACAAGATTTGTACAAAAAAGAAAAAAAAAATCCTAATAGAATACGAAATAAATCTCCGAATAGAATTAAAATCTCGTAGACAAAAGAAACTAGAAAATAATAAATATCAAAAAAGCAATTTAAATCAATTTTTATTACTCTAGTAGTTGCACTCTATTTTCAACACATTTTTGAATACATTACACTTAGCACCAATTTTTTTTTTGAGATATTTAGTGATATACCCATTTTTAGCACTAATATTATAGATAAACCCTCCATAATTGAATTTCTATAAACAAACCCAAAAAAAAACCTCAAAAATGACAGCTGGCCTTATTGAATTTAATATTGATTATTAAATTACTTTAATGCCCTATTGAGTATTTTGGGTATTTTTATGAGATTTTGAGGTTGGGCTTGTTTTAAGAAATTTATGGTAGTTTTGTAATTTATAAGAAGTTAAGGCCTCTTTGTTATGTTGTAAATGAGTTTTGGGTGTGTTTATAAAGTTCATTTCATATGGGGTATTTTTATAATTTGGGCCCCCCTATTGGGTATATTAGTGAATCTCCCTTTAAAAAAAAAAAAAAATAGAAATAGCAATAAACACCATATCTATCATACACTTGCGAATTTTGCATATACGGAGTTGATCAACAATTTGAACAAACGAACAAAGGGTTGTTGATAACGCTTGAGCCTTTCAATTTTTATTTTTAATTAATTCTAGATCAGAAACATTAATAATAGCAAGGAAGATGGAATAAAACTTCATATAAAAAACTAAGGGCCAGTTTGGCATTACTATACTATGAAAATAATCTCTACTGGATTTGCTGTGAGAGAAATCAGCTATGAAATAAAGCTGTTTGGTGTTGGTAAACCATTTGTTAAGATGTTGTTTGTACAATAATCAGTTTTCTAAGTATTTTGTAATTTTTTTTTGTTGTTGTTAAAGCGCTGTGAGCTGTTTATAATGACTAAAAATGGCATTTAGCTTTTCTGTTAAAGTGTTTGATAAAAGGGAAAACACTTTCACTTTCACTTATATATATTTGTATTAAATATGTTTCCGTCACACCCTAAAAATTATTTTAATTATAAATTAAATAAAGTATTATGTTGAAAATTGAATATTTGTATCCAATATATTCCGTTAATAATAAATATTCTGTCAAAGAAACAAAAATAGGAACAAAAAAAAAAAGGGACAGCAACAACTATTGAAGTTAAAACCCTAGAAATTAAAGAGAAAAAGGGAAGAATGAAATTAAGAAGAAATAAACATAATCTGCTTCTCACGTGAGTCTTGTGGCTTCTCAGGAGTGTGCTTCAATTGATTCAACAAGAAAAAATAACAGAAGAATAGAAGAGGTTCAAGAGAAGGGGAACTATGTTAAAGAGATGGCTTGAAGAAGAAAATGGATGCGAAGGAGAAAACGCACGAAGAGAAGGTGAAATAAATTGGGGGTATTTTTGGAAGTTTGTAAATTTCATTAAACCCAGTAGCTTTTTAAAATTGATTCCCACATAATCAGAAAATGAAAGCACCTCGTTAGCTGCTTCCCCTTATAGCATTTTTTTCACGACAAGTTTTAACAATAAGAGATTTTCTCATAATTTACTAAACGGGCTGGGCTTCTCAAAATTTTTAAAAAATCACTTATCATCTTAAATAAGCAATGATAAACGGGCACTAGAACACTTACATTACTATTTTGCTTAAATGTCAAAATGGTCCTTGTGTTTTACTGTTTTGACCAATTTAGTATGTGTTTCTAATTTGGCCAATTTTTGTGTTTAGCATCAGTAGCCAATGTGGTCCAATCCGTTAAATAAACATTATAAACATATTTTTGTTCCTTAAAAAACCATTTTGAAACTAATTAAAAAAATTGAATTAATTTAAGATATTAAAACTTCAATTTTAAAATTGAATTAACAAATCAATGTGCCTTTATCAGGTCTGAAGCCGGGCGATTTTGAATTGGGTCAACGCAGTGATCATCGCATTCCAGTTAGCCACATTTCCTCTTTGAGTCATTTCAGCAAATATCTTAATAGCATTTCCCAGATAGCCTTTTTGCACATACACAAAGATCAAAATACTACAACAGATAATGTTTTTCCTTGGGACATGACCATACAATGTTAAAGCTGCTTGTAACTCTCCCATTAGAAATTCAATTTTTTATTTTTTAAATTAATTTCAAAAAGGGGGTTTTTTTTTTAAACAAAATAAAAAACAAAAAGGTCTATAATGTTATTTAATGGTGAATCTAATAGATTGGACCACATTGACTAACGATGCTAAACATAGAGACTAAATTAGAGAAATTAAAAATATATGGACTAAATTGGCAAATACGGTAAAACACATGGACTATTTTGACATTTAAGCCTTAATATATTTTCTTTTTTGTTTTAAGATTTATTCTCCATTACTTCATCTCTATCTCTCATCCCCTTCCATCTTTTAACAAGAAAATGAAAACTGAAAAAAAAAAGAAAAAAAAAAGGTATTACCATTTGAGCCCAACGTCTACACAAAAGAAATATCTATATGAAATCAACATATTTTTGAAGGAATATTATGCAAAAGAGGTTTTGTGAAAACAATTTAAGACTTTAAGGGACTCAAGGGGTTTTGTAAAAACACGAAGAGAAATATTGTTAAACTAAAGGTTAGTTTGTTACTTAAATTTTTTCTTATTATTTACCTTATTGAATATTCATTTAAATATGATAAAATTCGCGTATTGATTTAAAACATATGAAGCGCGCAGCACGAATTAGGTGTGATTTCACTTGTCTTCTATTATTGAGGAGTTGCTGTGTTAGATGTGAAGTGTCGGCGTGGCTTATCCATATCTCCGTGCAATCTTATCTGCGTAGTGTCTTTTTCTAAGGTGTTCTTTTCTTATCTCTCCCTGCTGTAGTTTTCCATATATGGGACAATAGTGCATTACAGCTAATAATAAATACAAACGTGTTATCAAAGAAAATGAAAAGAAGAGAGGTGGAGAATATAGAGTGATCAACAAATTGATTATAAAATATGCGAAAGGAACATTTACAAGCAGAAGAAACTTGACTTTCCCAGCACTGATCAGAAGAACATTTCATTGCTTCGAGATACAGAAGAGAAAAAAGCTGCAGAGGTAATTAGTTGTTCACTGTTGGCGAAGACCAGAAATATGGCTGAGGCTGTTGTTTCAATTGTCGCTGAAGGCCTAAAGCCGCTTGGAGATTTCATCGTTCAGGAAGCCAACTTTTTAAGCGGAGTCGGAGAGCAAGTTGAGCTTGCACGAACCGAGCTACGACTGATGCTGGGCTACCTGAAGGATGCAGATGCCAAACAAGGAGAAGACGAAGTGGTACGCGTTTGGGTTGCAACTGTTAGAGATGCTGCTTATGATTTGGAGGATGTGATTGAGACTTTTGTCTTGAAAGTGACTTCCAAGAGGAAAGGAAGCATGACAATAGTCCTGAAAAGGTGTGCTTGTATCTTGAGAGAAGGATTTTATCTTCATAAGACTGGGTCTGAAATCGAGAAGATTGCAACCAAACTTTCTAAGTTGAGGTCCAGAATGGAATGTTATGATATCAAGGCAATCGGGTCAGGGAGTGAATGTAGTTCTTCATCTGTTGAGAGGCAACATGATCAGAGGCTAACCTATGCTCATTTCAGTGAACGCCATGTTGTTGGGATAGAAGGCGATGTACAGATATTGGCTACACATTTGTTGAAAGAAGAAGAAGATCAATTTCACCGAGTAGTTTCCATTTGGGGGATGGGCGGTTCAGGAAAGACGACCCTTGCAAGACAAGTTTATCATCACAATAAAGTTAGGCGTCATTTTGATTCTTTTGCTTGGGTGTGTGTGTCTCAACAATATGAAGGAAGAGCTGTTTTGGAAGAAGTTTTAATTAAGCTAACTGCTGCTACCAAAGAGCAAAGAGAAGAAATTGAAAGAAAGAAGAGGGATGAAATAGCAGAACTCCTCTATACTCTCCTCGAAAATATGTGTTGTTTGGTGGTCCTTGACGATGTTTGGAACACTGGTACCTGGAACTCTATAAAAGCTGGATTTCCAGTAAACAAGAGAACGAAGAGCTGCATATTGCTCACGACACGCAACAAAGAAGTAGCATTGCATGTAGATGAAAATGGTTTTCTTCATGAATCTCGGCCACTAAATGCTAATGAAAGCTGGAAATTGTTCGAGAATATAGCTATCTTTGGAAGGGATGATACAGGTATTTTCTCAACCAGCTCTTTCATCTCGATTTTGAACTTATTTGTCAATAGACTAATAAAAACTACCGCATTCATGTAGATCAAATTATTTTCCTTTTCTTTTGAATGAAGAAAATTCATTCAATGGAAATCAACTCTTTTCAAACCGTTGTACTTTAGCACACCCCCATTGAAAATAATTCTTGGCCAAGACATTATTAATGGACTATAACGAAAAACACAAGCAAACCAACCACGAAGAAAATTGCACACACACCAAAGCAAGCAAACAAACAAACCAAGTGCTCAAGAATTTAAGACGTTCGACAACATGCCTCCTCTTCGGTCATCGCCTTGAGTACAAAGAACAACTTTTTTTTTTTGTTTTTTTTTGTTTTTTTTTTTGAGAGAAAGCGATTTCATTGAGAATAAAACATAGAGTTACATCTTATCCTCTACCAAAACATCATGCACAGCAGCAGGGGGGTCCTGAAACCACGATGATGTCTCTGGTAAGGTAAGAGCTATCCGAGCTAAGCGACCCCCCGTAGCACCTAGCTCTCTATTACACTTACGCCATTGCTCAACCCCAAATTTGATGCCTTACTTATAGCTTATAGAACTTGGGTTAGAATTTAACTTGAAGTAGGAAACCAAGCCCAATCAAAACCCTATTAAAATGTGCTAACAACTGCATCATTATAGGTGGGGTTGGGAAAACCGACAGGTCGCTCAAAATAAGGGACAACTTGCCGCCCCAAAAACAAGACTGCCTTGTTGAAACATCGACCTCTTTGGACAAAACCGATCTGTGACCATATCAGGACTGACCAATGGTCGCTGACACTCCTGCTCTAGGGAAGAAATCAACTCGTCTGACATATACCCTCGATTGTTGTATTGAATTCATCACGAGTGATTGTTTCCCCATGGGCCCTATTGTCTCCATAGGCCCTATCTTCTCCTTCTAGATGAGCCATTGGAGCACTTCAAGTTAGGCAAAAACCTGCTCTAGTACCAAGTGACGTAAATTGGATTCGTTAGAGAAATTGAGTAAACATCAAATATATTGATTGAAAATAAGATTAATAATTCAAGATGCTCCAACGAATTCCTTTTGTACAAGAGAAACCTTAGACTTGCTTGGAAAGTTAATGAGAAACCCTGACTTGCTAGGAAAACTTATAGAAAACAAAAAAGAAAATAATAAAAGTTTCCCAAAATATTCTAAAAACTTTAAACACTAAAAAGTCAACATAAACGATAGAATTTGGCTAAAGTAGCCCATATTTGCACTTGTCACACCGTTCTCTTTGCACTTGTCGAGGCCCATTCTTATACAGATTGGGCTTTGCTACTGCGACGACATGCACTCCTGTCTAACTATTCCTTGATTAACTCGGCCATGTGTTCAACATAACCACACCTCTTGAAAATCGTTGATGCTCTCTATCTTTGTCAATCAATCGCTACCATGTTTTCCTCCTCCGCATCACTATGGTGAGCCAATATTAAAAATAAAATAAAAATCTTCACTTTTGGCGAACAATTAATCAACCATGGACAATTGTTGACCCCCATAACCTCTTAAACCTTTTGGATTCCAAGAGCTCTTCCTTGGCAAGGAATCACTTGCCTTCAAGCACCACAGGTGAGGTGGTGCTCCACCCAGAACTACGCTTGGATCATTGAGATCTCTGGTGCAGAAACGAGATCCCCCATGTTGAATTCCTTGCTCCTTGTCTCCTAACATAATTTTCCTAACCTTCTTTTCCTCATATGTATCAAACCAAAACACATATGAAAACAACACCTGTAATCTAAAATCCAAACTGAAGTAGAACTCTTACCTGAAGAAATTGCAACGGCTTCTCCATTACCCTCATCTGTAACCATCAAAGTTCATCATTAGTGTCTCCAATAGACATGTTGGCTGCTCTTGAACTTTCGACATTTTTCAACTTATCTCGCTTATCTTTCCATATATGACAATTCTTTTTCTTGTGATCTTTTAATCCATACTCGAAACAACCATTCCCATCCTTAGATCCAAGCTTTAATACCACTTGTACTTTAGCGCGCACCAAAATGCTTGTTATCAATGGACTATGAAGAAAAACACAAGCAAACCAACCACAAAGAAAATTGCACACACCAAAGCAAACAAAGAAACCAAGAATACAAAATTTATAAAGATTCAGCAATGTGCCTACATCCTCTCTGATGATCCCCATGAGAAATTTCACTAGAAGAATAGGAACGCAGCTGGTATCAAAACTTGATTTAGCTACAACGCACTTGGTTCAAGGTGGAGGCATTGACATGTTCAAGGAGATGACTCAAGAAAATTCCTAGATCGACGGAGAAAAGGTGGAGCGGGCTAGTAGAGGAAGGTGTCTAGTGGAGGAAAGTTAGAGGCTCAATGAAATCCTAGTGGCGGCTAACTATGTGGAGCAAGGGCTCCTCACAGAGCTCAAAAAAATAATAAGTCCTAGCCTTATGGTGAGCAAGGGCTCTTAGCGAGGCTCAAGAAATCCGTGTAGGAAGAGGTGAGAGGTGGAGTTGCAAGGACCATGTCATCCTTGAAAGGTATGAGTGTTTGTAAAGTGTGGGTTACCCTTGGCTTGGATATCGCCAAGGTGGAGATTGTTGGTGTAGGTGGCTCATTAAAAGACATGATGTTTAAGTCCCACATTGCATAATACAATAATAATCTACACACGTTCAAAATATTGGTGGTCCACTGCTAATTACACCGATACCTTAAGTTAAAGTCCCATACCTAGAGGTCTGTTAAATCTAGGCCAATCTAAATATTGGATTTAGGTGATTAAGGTGGGGATAATATCGATGCATAGTTTGACAGGTAGTTCCGAAGTGGGCTCCTATAGGGCCATTGCTACAACACAAAGTGGTTTTGACCTTTAGTTTAGAGAACATTGTATTATGCATTTTTACACTTCATTCATCAACTGATATCTTCGAGATTTGAACTCATAAAACTTTCTCCAACAAAATGAAGACTCGGACCAAATGGTCATTAGCAAAATGCTATATGCATATTGGAAATCTGTAAATCACGTAGAAGAGAACATTCATCTTATGTGAAAAATTTAGGTAGTCAGAAGAACTCGTACATCTGTCCTCTTTATTATCAAGCTCGTGATGTTAACGCTCAGTATCATTTCTAGGAGTAGCTTGCATAATATCCTTCTATCAAGATATTGCTTCAGTACAGGTTCTTTTCATTTCATATTGTGATAGATTGTTGCAATGCTTTGTCTGTTCTGTATCTTCTCTGATGAATTTTTCCCACGATGAAACACTATGTCAAACATGGATTGGTTTTCCTGAGAATTATTTAGGCGTTTGACATTCATTTTGTTTTTTTAACAGCCAACCAATAATTATTAATGTTTGGATAATCTGGGAATTGTCCCTTGAAATTGTACTTAATTATTAATTTACCTTTGACATTTTATTTAGAAAATTAAAAAGTTAAAAATAATAATACACATGAATATAATATAAAACGTAAAACACAAGGAAAATAAAAATAAAAAACTGTACTAACCCCTTCACACCTGGAGCCACCCCCTATACCACCCGCCATCATCCACACTTCACCGCCACCATCCACACTCCACCGTCACCTTAGGTCTCTCCCTGTCTCTCACGCTCCAACCAAGACACATTATCCCACCTTAAAAATTTACTCTACACACCCAATAACCACAGACAGCACCACATCCCACAGACCCAGAACAAGTCCTCCCCATCCCCCATCCCCTAGCTCTCTCTCTCTGCGAACAAGGTAAAAAATAAAAAAATTTATTTTGCCCATCCTATCTCCCCTGTCTCCTTGTCTTCCTCCCGCCTCCCCCCTTCCGTCGTCGCCGCCCTAGATACGAACCCTACCCACATCGCAACCCAGTCTCCCCATAGCCACCTTCTCTCTCTATCTCCGACAAACCTCGACACCCAACTTCAAATTTTGGGTTCTTTGAAACCTAGTCCCCCTTCCCCAAACCACCTCTCCCTAGCACAGACCCATGAAAATTGCACCAACCCATGAAAAAGTTGTTTGTCTGGTAGAAGGGGAAGTAGGGGATGAGTGGTTGTGGGTCGCAGGTTTGTTGGTCCGAATTTTAATTAAAATGATTTATTTTATTTTATTTTATTTTATTTTATTTTATAGTATTTAATTATTTTGATAATTTAAAATGACCAATTTTCTTTCGTATTTAGCTGCAATTTAGATGTAATGTTGACGACTTAGACGGTAGAGGAAACATTGATAATAAAAATTAATTCTTGTTCTTAGTTTTCTTAAAAAAAATTCAGGGATAAATTTATAGTTATGTACAAGTTCGGGGACAATTCAACATATTACCCTTCATGTTTTTAAAACTCATTTTTCTTTTTAACTTCCAAGCAATGAATTATTATAATGTGCTTGGAATTGATTTTGTTTTTAACTTCCAAGGAGTGAGGTTAAAGAAACTTCATAAACTTTTTAAGTTCTAGTGTGAAAATAATTCAAGCAAGGGACATTGGTGATATAAAAAGCAATATTGAACAAAATAGGTTAATTTTGCTTTCTATTATATTTATTGTTTTCAGTGGCCGAAATTTATGCTAAGAAGGAAGAACTAGGAAAGAAGATGCTTCAAAATTGTGGAGGTTTGCCATTAGCTGTCATTGTGCTTGCAGAACTTCTAGCTAGAAAAAGAACAATTGATGAGTGGTATAAAGTGTATAAGAATGTTGATGTATATATAAGGAGAGGCACAGACCTTGAACCAGAATACAAAAATGAAGGCTATAAAGGTGCATCATGGGTGCTGGCATTGAGTTATGATCACCTACCATATCGCCTAAAGTTATGCTTTCTATATTTAGGCCATTTTCCCGAGGATTATGAGATACCTGTGAAAAGATTAACTCAATTATGGATGGCAGAAGGTCTTATATCTTCAACATCAACAGACATGATTGAAGATGTAGCATATGGTTGCTTAAATGAGTTGGTAGAAAGGTGTATGGTTCAAGTTGGAAAATATGGTTCAACTAAGAAGATCAAAACATGTCGTCTCCATGATCTCATGCGAGACTTATGCTTGTCAAAGGGAAAAGAGGATAACTTTTTTGATATTGTCAATTTTGCTTCCACGGCTAACAAGGCAGCACCTATCGGTAAAGTTCGAAGACGTGCAATCTATTTGGACGAAAAGGTTGATTGTTTAGCCCCCACAAGACATGAAAGAGATGGCCAACTCAGGTCTCTGTTATACTTTGGCAGCTTCATATGGAAAAAAAAAATGATAGACAAAATGTTCAATGACTTCAAATTGCTTAGAGTTTTGAAGTTTGAAGAGATGCGTTTTGAAGTAAAGTTGCCCAGTAATATTGGGGATCTTGTCCACTTAAGGTTTTTAAGTCTGAAGAATAGTGAAATGAATCAATTGCCATCATCTGTAGCTAGTTTGGTGTGTTTGCAAACTCTAGATGTACGATGTAAAGATAAGGTGGTGGTGAAAATACCTAATGTGTTTTCAAAGATGGAACAATTGAGACATTTATACATGCCCTATAAACACAGCGTAAGTGAGAAGCTGTCATTGGCTAGTCTTGGCAGTTTGCAGACGTTAGTTCATATTTCGAACCAAGACTGTGATTTCAAAGAACTTGTTCAATTAAAGAATCTTAGAAAGCTGTCAGTACATGTAAGGTCAAGGAATTCTGAAATTTTGGAGGAAATCTCGGAAGCGGCAATCTTCACAATTAACCGTGTTCAGTCTCTCTGTGTGGTGTCTACTTCAACGGATATATTAAAAAGTATAGTATATAGATGTCGTCATGTATCCAAGCTGAAAGTAATGGGGCCAATTGGAAATTTACCTGAAGATCTCCCAACCTATCCAAACCTCACCAAGCTAACGTTGTGCGGTACATGTCTCGAGGACACCCAGATAGAAATACTAGAGAAGCTGCCAAAATTACAAACCCTTTGCCTTGGAGATGGAGCTTTTGGGGCTGGTTGTGAATTGGTTTGCTCGAGTAAGGGCTTTCCTTCTCTTGAAGTTCTTTACCTTAATGGTTTGTCCGAATTATCCTATTGGTGGGTGTCCGAAGAAGCCTTGCCTAGCCTGTGCAGATTGTACATTGAAAATTGGATTACGTTGGTGGGAGTTCCAGATGGGCTGCAATATGTTTCTACCCTTAAGGAAATAACCATAAAGTCGATGCCTGATACATTCTGTAGTCGCCTTCAGGAAGGAGGAGAGGATTTCTACAAGATCAAACACGTCCCTTCTGTTTTATTTGAGAGTATTGTTGCTGAGCAGTGGGGCGAAGCTGTGAGGGTAATGTGTTCATATATACCTTTTCTTTTCTGTTGTTTCATGCAAATAAAGAACTAATTACTTTCTTCCTTTTTTTCATTGAAGAAACGTATGCTGCTTGCCGAGAAGAGAAGGGTTGCAGTATGTCTTCAGACCTTTCCTTTTTAATTTCTTTTTTTATTTATTTTTAAAATGGGAATAAGCACTGATTGTTTTTTTTTTTTTTTATAAATACTTTTTTCCTTTAGCTGTATGTACAGAAGGCTGCCCTACAATTCATTGATGCTGGCGGGCATACCTGAAAACTGTGTCGATAATGAGGTCAATGTAAGTTCTCTCCCCGTCCCAACGTTAGCGGTTTGTTTTCGGTGCCTGCGAATATGATTTCTTATTCTATATTTCAAGTTTAGTAACTCAACTTGCCTTCTATGCATATCTTCTGTAGCAGTGTTGCTTATTAATGTTTAGGCATAATTCTTGTTTTACCCCCTACACTCGAACGTTTTATCTCCTGGAACTTAAATTTTCTCACTTAACCCTCTAGAATTTTGCTCCGTGTCCCGCATTGCCTCATTTTGTCAATTTCGTTAACAAATCTGTTAATTTGCAGACGTGTCATGGACATTTTAGTAATTTCAACTATTAAAACATTTAAAATCTAAACTTAAATATAAAAATCATATTAAAAATAGTTAATTTTTTTTTAAAAAAACTGCAATTGTTTAATATCATCCCTCTCTCTCTCTCTCTCTGTGCAAGTTTTTCAGAAACTTTGGGAGCTGCACGAATATGATAAAGACCATTAGAGCCATTGCCAACCAGAAGCACCTTCCCCGTCTTGTTGTCCTTGACACAGTAACTGTTAGAGTGTAACACCCCGACCCCGTTTATTTTCCTATTTAATTTAATTAGGGGAAAATATTAAATTATTCCTGGGTTAAGGGCGATTTTGGTCACTTTCTTATCCGGGAAGATTTTGGGACCGTGAGTGGTGTGGTTGCGTAGGTGGTACTGAGACGAAACCGTAGACAGGCGGTAGGCCTGAATCGGAGATTTAACGAAGCTTTGGCGATCAAAACTTGTTCGGTGGACTTGTGGTGGCAGAACCGTAATTATTTCGAAGTAAGTTGGGGTAAAAATCAGATTTTTTACATTTACCCTCACTTTCTCTCTCTTCCTCCCGCGTCTTCCCCTTCCTTGCGATTCTCCCCTCCCCCGTCACTGTTCATTCGAACGGAAACCACTGTGCCACCGCCGCCACAGTCCACCCCAGCCCTCAAGATCGATCCCGTTCAACTCCCCTCGAAGTCCCGATCAAGACCCACCCAATTTCCT